TATATTAAAAAAAAACGAAAATATTTCTCGGATATATTAAGTAGTTTACGAAAAAAAAAACATGAAATTAATTAAAATAGGGATAAATGGCCATGTAAATGTAATTTTTTTCGATTTATAAAATAACACAAATAGTAAAACAAACCGAGCAGTGTTAGACTATTGATCCGTTAAAACTAATTAATGAAGTCAAGTATGTTCATTCGAAACGTGCTCAGAATGCAGTGGAAAGGTTTTTGATTAATAGCATCACATTAATTTTCTAATTTTTTTTTCACCTCGCTTCCCATTCTTAATTCGTTCCATATATAATCGTTTCTAATTCTCTAAGAAAAATAATCCAAAAATTCCTCGAATTTTTCCTATATAGAATTTAAAATTATGAAAATCATTTCTTTTTTTTTCGTTCAGAAAAAAAAATCTCTCTTTTTTTTTCCTCGATGATTCGTACTTAATTTCGTTGGAAATCCGCTCTTATTTCGGCTCATAGAATATGTCTCAAACTCCTCTCGGTTGGCCTAGGAATGCTTAAAGAGGGTCATGACTGTTATTTAAATTTTCGTCGCCATTACTGCGTTATGAGACGTGAAATGTTAGGCATTAACTCAACGGAGGAAAACTTCTATCCATAAGAGTATGACCAATTGAGGAACAAGTTAATGGCAATCCATATATTCCGTCTGCTTAACCTCTCCCTAATATCTTTCATTGTAAATTGGCAATGGTTCCTTTTAGGATTTTTAGAAAAATCTAATTTATTTTAGCTCTTAGACGTGCGAAAGTAAGAGGAAGATTTTTGCATCTCGCTCGCCCATTAAAATATCGCACTTGTTGATATAAATAATGCAACTTTATAGCAAATAATATATTAATAAATGATTATCTCGTTTAAATTTGATCAAAATTTAAGCCATTAGTGTTTCCGTCATAAAATATTTAGGACATAACAGCGGTGGTATCTCGCATCACGTTACTATGTAACCGAAGCAGTTATGTCTCGTCCGTGGTCTACGGGGACTCGAGTTACTCTGACATGACACGTTTGGGACGACTTAGAAACTACTATAATCTGGATTTCTTATTTCCAACTTTTATCCTCAATTTTTCTAAAAAAAAAAATGAAGAGTATTTCCTGTATTGGTTGGCCTAAATCTGTAGAAATGAACTGGTGCTATCTGGAGAGCTTCATGTGTCAATGTATCGATGTGATCTCTTCGGATACAAAATTTGTGACAGTGTCTGTCAAAAATGTTTTCTAGAATGTTTGTCGCTTGCCTCGACTGTTTTTATATCATCCAATCCCGTTCTGTACATTTGACATTGTGTCGTATTTGTTCAAGCTGGTCTTTTCTGCTTTTACCAAAAAGATATATAAAAATACTTGATAAAGTCCGTATATTTGTATTCTATTCTTGTACTTTACTTTCAAGAAGCTCTAAAACCCTAGAATAAGAAAACGAGAGACGAATAGAAATTTGACAGATGTTTATAGAAACAATGTTTGTTTTTTTTCTTGTTACCAAATTTTAAAACATGATCCGGAACTCCAAGTGAAAAATCATGTTATTTTATAAAATAAAGGAGGGAAAAAAAACAGAAACTTTACGAGAAAGTATCTGTAATAAATAATAAATAGAAACATCTCTAGTAAATTTAAAATAACCGGATTTTAACTTAAGTTACATCAAAAGTTTCCAAGACGTGATAACACTACGACAATTTTTATGTTTCACTAAAGGCCAGTTTTTATTATTGCTTTCTATCTCTGTCAACTAAAAAATGGAGATATCGAATGGAAGTTACAGGATGAACTTGGATGAGAGGTCAAATCAAACTTTAACCTCTCGAAGAATTTCGGTGTGCAAGATGTGTTGTGACTATCCAAGTGGAGGAAGTTTCGTTTACTTTATCTCGGAAAAATCACGAAAATCTGACGTTTGCGAAGATATTTGACCACTCAATACTGGGAAGATCAGTACACTAATAACAATGTGAGACGGTCAAGTGGTTTCGGATAGTACTTTCTTGGATAGATTTGGTAGACAGAACATTTCACCGGCACTACACAATAGGATCATTATTAAAAACTTTCTCGGACGGACAAACTTTATTTAACTTTATTAAAATCATTTTTATAAAGTTACGAACGTAATAAATCTTTTTTTGTTAAAAATAACTGGATTTTTTAAATAAAAAATGTGATAGAGTTGTACGCTTCCATCTTAGAAACTCACGAAAACATTGCAGGCAATAAAAGATAAAAAGTGATTTAAGAAAAATAAAAACAAGAGTTTTAAAATTAGTATTTAGCACAATTTAAGGTTATGATATTCCTCCTTACAAGGCAAAAAAATTCCTAAAAAATTAGTTGGAACTTGAAGAATTTTATTACTTCAGAATAAGTTTTTTCATTGTTGTTGTTGTTGTTGTTGTGAGTTTAATACATCTTTCTTTCTTTTGAATAAATTTTTAGCAATATGTTTGGAATAAATGCGTAAGAAAACTGTTGAAACAGAAAGGCTTTAAAGTCGAGAAAGTTGATTAAAACGTTGGAAGTGAAGTAGGAATTTAATAACAAGCAGACCCGATAGGACGTCGATCCAGTTTGGCAAAAGTTAATTGGTTTGCTGCACGCTCCTACGCTTCGACAACATCAGAGATATTTCCGTCCAGAGTTATGACAGGCTGTAAACAGATACGCATTCGATTACAGATAAAAGGATTGCAATTAACTACAATCAAGTGCGAAATAGATACTATTGTACATAATTGTAAAAGCTCGATCCAACTGAGCGCGACAGAATCGTCCATGCATATTCTCTTCATCATAAAAGTATAATGGTTAACGCTTTCTCTATAGTTAAAAGCATACCAGACCGATAAAACTTGAGTAATTATTATAAAAAAAAAATAAATAATAAATAAAGTTTAGTATGTATGTCGTTCGGTAGAGTAGAATGTTAAAAGTGTCGATACGCGGACAACACATTCGCAAAGAATGAAATATGGCTTTCTCGGTAGCGATAGTAATGGATGTGGATCTTCTATATATAGAACGATACAATAGGTCATTCATTTTCAATACTTTCTTTCTTTTATGCTTTTTTTTTTCTATAGGTTGCTACGAGGTAACTGACCTTTCAGACACCTACGCTTCCAAGACCTTATAAAGTGTATGAGCCAAAGCGTATTTTCGGCAGAATAATTAATTATGTATCAAACAGTTAATTAAATCCACTTTAAAGAGAAGAAGTGAAGTTAATAGCTTCTACTTTTAAATGAATTACAGACAAACTGGAGAGAATATAAGTGCTTTGAATCAGTTTTGTTGTTAATGCAGCGAGAGAAAAAGGAAAAAAAAAATTGCGAATAAAATAGATGAGATTCTGCGAAATGTAATTCCAAATAAGGGTTTTTAACAACATAAATAATCGTATTCCGTTTAACTGGTTGATCTTGTGAAAGAGAAACGAAAATATTGGAAAACAATTTTTCACTTTTCTCTTCGGGTATTAAGGACGAAAATTAAATTCAACCAGTTAAACATTGTTATATTGTTTTTACTCGGTGAATATTTTAAATGTTTATCGTGGATAAACCGCGTTTTCTTTGTCTTTAAGCAATAAATAAGTATTTCAATTCAATAAATGTATTAAATAAAACAACAAATGCAATTATAATACTTTATTTATTCCATCCATTAACAGCGACTGCGAGAAGGGGGGGGGAGTTTGTAACACGTAACGTATGTAAAAGTCAAACTTTAATCTTAATTACCTAAACGCTGGAAACATATGAAGCAGATAATTTATAAATTAATTTTTGAATTTTAATTTTCTTAATTAGACATTTAAAAAAGAATGTTTTTTTTGTGCGGTTTAACGTATTTCGTACTAGCAAATAAAGCTATTTAGTTAACAACAGGAGATAACTAAGGTTCATTGCGTACTGATAAACACAGAGATAAATCGATCAATGATTCTTCCGTGAGTGTAATCGATGCTTACGTTTTCTAACTTTATTGTTCCATAGTGTTGGATAATTATCGATCGCAGACCTTATCTAGTCAACTCGGTTGTTGGTCCTCTGGTACCTAGCTTAAGACAATTTAACTCCTTAGTAGACCTTGCTCTATTGACACGTAGGGGGCTTGTAAAAGTTTCCCTTAAAAGAAACACGTTGCCAGACCGTAACTTCTATCTTATTCTTATTCTCTAGCGGTTAAAAAATCTCCAGTTTTTAATTAATAGTAGCTCGATATTTGGCCACGCACGACTTATCAGTAATGCAGAGTTTTTCTTTTTTAAACACTAATTTTTAATTATTCTTTGGCTCCTCTTCTCTATACGAAAACGTGATATTAAGTTATCTGAATGAAAATGTTTCTTGAAATTAGTTCCTGTATTTAGTTCGATCACAATAGACTTTCTAACAATGACATCGCTGTTTACCTATTTCCTTCTTGTCAAGGCGTTTGCCTATAAATGATTGATTATATCGATTTGGTGACGGTCAATGTAATTTACTGGCACACTATTTCCGTACTTATTGTGCACACGTCAGCTAACATGTCACCCTAAGTTAATTGGATAGAATAGTACTTTTTTCTTACATCTTGTGTTTCGTTCGCAAATCCCAGTCTGATGCCAGGTAATACGCTGGTGGTTTCGAGAGCACCGGACTTAATTAGTGACATTAAAAGAACAGAAACGTTTTATATAACCACAGGAATAATGCACTTTTACTCCCGAGAATTCAGCATCGAGATGAGGAGAAAGAGGAAAAAGTTGCTTGGATATATATATTAAAACTCGATAATTTTATCCCAATTACAAATGTGGAATATAACAAGATTAATTTTAATAAATATTTGATATAAATTAATAATATACAGTAGTTATAATTTAAATAATTTAACATAAAAGCTCTTAGGAAGAAAATTTAATTTAGAATAATATTCGATATGTTTATTCTTTATAATTAAGAGAGAAGAAGAGAAAATTTACTGGCGACGGTTACGCGTAGCTGTCAACTCGATACTAAATATTCATGATTTTTAGAGATGAAGGGGGCAACAATTGCCAAAATTGATACGAGAGGGCGCCGCGTGTCAAGAAAGTAATTTGCTATGGATTTAAAAAGTGGACAAAAGCCAACAACCAAAAGCACAGCTTTGCATTTATTAGAGAACTACGAGTTATGATGTACAAAATTGGCATGGTTATGACATGGAAAAATTGTAGACCCAAAATTTGATATGATAACCATACATGACGATAGAAAAGACAGACGACAACTGCTGGTTGATTCGAACTTTTACATCATATTGTGAGCCTTTGTTATAATCATTATTTAGATAATAACGTATTTAAAGCATCGAAAGAAATAAATGTGACAATACATGCATAACTTGGGCATGAAGAAGCTCTATGTCAATCAATGGTCGGCGTGTATACAACGGTCACGCTACGATCCTGTAATCTAGAAACGAAGAAAAAGTTTCAATTATGATCTCTTTGAATGAAAGAAGTTCGAATAATGCGTGTCACAACATATATCTATTCCGGAGACTATTCTAAGAAGCGATGACGTCCAACCCAAGTTATGAAATATATGCAGCATAGTACAGGTACAAATTTTGCACACATTCCCGTCTAAATATCAGTTTAGTTTTATTACATATTACAACCCAAGTAAAATAGATATTTTGGCACCATTTAGCAGATTTTAAAATAGTATTAAATATCTTAAAGTCGTTTCTGCTCCCTATATCCTAAATCCTTTCAAGCGTTCTATAATAGAGAGAGGACAAGTATAGGGAGAGTTCTTCATCCACTGTTTGGTTGGTATCAATATAAACTGAAATCGGTTCCTCTTCATGCTCCACATCTTCAGAGAAGTGTAATTTCTATAAAAGTTAATGATATACCCATTCAGGCACTGTAATCACAGCCGGTAGTACAGTGTTGAAGTGAAATAGCAGGCTCGAGACTCCAGGCACTGTTGCACCCGCATTTTGGGTACTTCTCCTGATGTTAGCGAATTACTAGGAACACTAACGACATTGAATGGATAAATGTACGTTTAATAACAAAGCGTTTAGTTGTTTGGTTATCATCGTCCACTTTGATTAGACGAAAGAAGTGGCGAGCATTTCTTTCCTCGCGAACTGTTCACATTCCGAAGACAACAGACCAATCCAATGTGCACAGTGGAATTAGCAGTCTTAGGCACGTGTTGCTTTAAGGGCTGTCGGAAAAAAAGAATAGGGAGAGAAAACGAACCAATCATTGGCTCTTGTACCCTGTTAGGTGCGATATTACTAAAACCTCCTTATAGTTTCTGAAGAGGAAGATAGTTGCTGTAACATAGTAGGATCGCGATTTAGTCTTATATTCGGATCAAAATGCTGACTATATCTTTGTAATAAGTTTCTCGTTTCTTGAAGGTGCCGTTGTATATAATCGACTCTAGGATATAACGTAGCTGCGTGAAGAAAACATCTCTCCGCATCTTGAAGTTCTCCTTTTTCTACGTGGATGACACATAAATTGTGTAGACCCTGAACGTTGTGTGGATCAATTGCCAAAATTTTTCTGTAACACTGCAAGAAATCTACGTATAAATCCATAAAATAACAGTAAAAGAGTCGATTTTAAGTGAATATTTTACCTGCTCTGCCGCATCTAAGTTTCTTACGTGATTTACGTAAATATCTCCTAACAGTACGAGACCTTTGATATGATTTGGATGATACTGAAAAGAACAAGAACAGTTATTCTTCAATGACAACTATTCTTCAATAAAAACTTTTCGAATATATCCTCCTACCTGTAAGAGCTGGTGGAGATAAGGAACCGCTTCGAGAGGACGCTGAAGTTCAGAAAGAAGAAATGCCATATTGAAGAGTGCACTTCTTAAATCTGGCTTAATCTGCAATTATTTTCTACCTTAATTAAGTTATTAAATATTCTTAAAATCGAGAATAATCTCTTGTTTACATAGAATTTACCTGAATAGCTCTTCTCAAGCAATTCTCAGCAGTGTTGAAATCTTTGCTTTTCAGAGCTAACATTCCTAAATTGAAATAAACGCGTTCGTTCTGTTTTCCCTGAGTCACCATTTTTAATAATCTGCAAATTATAAATTTAATTTAAGCAGAAAAAAAAATTCATAAATTATTTACAACAATAACGTACCTGTCTGTAGCTATTTGACTTTGACTGGTGATTCCCGCTTCTTGTATTAAAACTGCAGAATTCATAAGAGCTTTCTGCCAATTAAATTAACAGAAATATTTTACAAATGAAAACATTTCGATAAAATCATTTCAATTTTATAGGAAAACTAGAAAATCTGACTTTTAAAGATAGAATTACAACCTGGAATGAATTATCTCCTAACATTACTTAAGTTTAATGTACTTTTCATATAATGTATAACGTCTATTATCTATAAAGTGGTCACACAGTTGTAAAATATATGCTCTAAAAGCTTTATAAATACTATAAAATGTAAAATTTACAGTTATTACAAAGTTATGCTACTTAAAATCATTATACTGTATTGTAAGTTTAATTATGTAAACAATTAAAAGACTCCTTTAAAAACCTTTCTAATTATAAACTTTCAACGTAAATACACAAAAAAATTGTTTACTGTATTTTTAAATGATAAAAGTAAACCCGTGTTTATAAATAAACTAAAAGATCATTTTTGTATTGACTGAATGGGTCTCGGTGGACTCCAGCTACAAATGTAATTGATAGAAATCCAAAATACAAATTAATCGTAAACAAGCGAAATGGAGAAGCTTGTACCAATTGTCTATTACTCGATGTTTTTGTATAGAAGTTCCAGAGACAATTGGAACCGGCTACCAATTACCTTTATGTGAAGAGTAACGATTGTTGTTTACCTCATGCTCCGGGTCTATATCTAATGCCTTGTTGAATAGTTGTAAGGCTTCCACGTTGCGTCCTTGGTCCATCAGTACGACTCCCAACTGCGAAGATAAAATAAACGTGTTAGAAATTTCGACCCCATGTACAGTACCAACTGGAAAGATAAACAGAATCGCGAATAATATGATCATTGGATTCGAGATTATCTGGAAATGCGATAGAAATAACAATGGACGGAAGGAAATTATATTTAGGTACAAATTGGAGCTTATAGCACATGAATACCAATGGATGAGGTTTTTCTTTTCTTATATTAAATTCGGTAGAAGAACAAAGATTATCTGGCAATCGCTTTTCAGATCATGTTCGAATCTTGTGGGATCAAGAATGGATTTTTGCGAAAATCCGACTGTAGAGATGCAAAGCTTGCTTGTCACTAGAATTCTATAAATGCATTTGAGATTTGCCGAGAAGAATTTTTGAGCAGTTTTTAGCATTTGAAAAATTCTCTAGAGCTCTCTTTGAATTTTACAAGATTCTTTTTTTATTTGTAAGCAAGAATAATATTTTAAAATTGATTTCCTTTTCTGAAATCTCGACACATTCCACAATCAAAGAAAAGAACACAAACATTTCAGATACGGTTAAATAATTTCGTCGGGCTAAAAGAAAACTGCACTGGCAATTTACTATATGAAACTCATATTTGGGCCATCTACCTATATTATAGCAAGCAGTTCTCTTCTTATATATAGATTTATATATATATATACGTATCCAATAGTCTTGCTAGTAATATAGCTTTGTGATAAGCACGATATGATCAATATGTCGTCCGAACTAGACAAGAAACCAATACCTGGCATACGTTTTCTTTCGCCAGAATGCCAAAGGCATTCTTTTTTATTTTATTTTTTACAAGAAATCAACTATCAAAAATTCCGATATATAAAGCGCATTTAACCATCGTTTTCCTTTATTAGCATTAATTTAAAAATAGATTTATAAATATTAATTAAAAGTTTTATATACTTACGTTATAGTAAAGATCCGGGTTAGTACCATCTAATTCTATGGCTCTTTCGTACATGGCTTCCGCTTCTTTGGTTCTGCAAAGAAAATATTTATAACTCATATCTAAATAACTATAAATGCCAACGTTAAATACGAGGCATCGATTAGAATATCGGATTGAAAAACTTTCCTCATTTTCCTTATTCAAAAAGATTTTTCTGTTGAATCTCTGCCAAATTCGTGGCATCACTTACACTCTAACAAAGTGCCTCGGGATAAAAAAAGCATCCAATGCCCCGCATCATGTCGAAAACGCGGCAGTACTGACAGGTGGGCTTTCCCGTTTGGGAACACAAAAAGTTCTCGGTTCCTCTTATCCAAACATCTCGTCTGCTTAGAAATTAAATTATACAACTCCCAAGGAAGTTTACCTGTTCATTCGGAGCAAAACATCTCCTCTGTTTAGGTAAGCATCACTGTAATCCGCTCTTAACCGGATGGCGTGTCGATACAACTGAAAAGGAACGACAAATCGACTCAAAAAAATATAAACGACACATCAGTAACAATTAATACAAGTAATTATAAAAAAAAAAAGTTACCGCATCGGCTTCTTCTAATCTGCTATGATTCTGAGCTATGAGTGATGCTAAATTAAGAAATACTTGAAGATGACTAGGAGTGACATGTACTTCTCTTACTTCTCTTTCGGGTGGTGGAAGAAGGGCTTTTGCCTGTAAAGATAAAGATATTTTAATTTTATATAATTAATTAGAAGCACTATAGTCTCTACTATAAAAAAAGAGTTTTTTTTGTAATAGAGACTATACTATCCGGAGGGTTTAAATGCAATTTCCTGATGTAATCGATGCGTGTTCTATATCTAGTTTATAATAAACTTCAACCTTTTCGCTTAACTAATTTATAGGAAATCCATTTCAACGGTTCGGGTTTGCGATGTAATTAGAACAGAGGTCAATGCGACGTGTCCAGAGTAACATGCTAATTAGATGATGGCGATTTACAGAGAGAGAGAGAAAGCGCCAGAGACATTCTCCCTGGTCGAGCGAGCGTCCAGGAAAACCATTGTTAACTGTGCTAAATATTCGTATTGGGGATTTTTCCCTATTCAGGAAAGGAAGATTTCAACCGCCATATTGTTTGGCTGCATTAGTGTTGACAGGGTATCTAGGTCACTGACCGACTATTCTCTGCTAGGTAAGGTGTTTGTCTCTGACAGAGCCCTCAGTAGTCGTTCTGCTTTGCTGCAGTGCGGCGATAGACACAACTCGGCGGCTGTGTTTTGTTTTTCAATAATTTTGATCGATGAGAAATTATCGTTTACACGCTCTTTAAAACGTTCGCATCATCGGCCTGCTGCCAACAGGCGGGAGGTAGTAATTGGCACTTTCTAAGCACAAAAAGAGAGAAAGGAGAAATGCAAGATTAAAAATAATTAATAAATATTAAGCTACCAGCATCGATATGGCCATGCTAAATGAAGATGCGAGCGTGAGATAGAGCGATACGTTTTGTAAATTTGTCGATGTTTCTCCTTCGCAAATGATGTTGAGGTGCACGTCGGGTAATGGACAGAACATCCGGGACATGAAGTACGTCATCTCCTGTTTACCTAGCAGGTACCATCTGCGGTTTGCGTATGCCAAGTTTAATCAAGCAACACTTGCTAAAGTAAGTCGGTCGAATCGACTGGGTAAATGTTATTTTTGACTTTCACAACGACACGATGGTTACTTTGAGCACTCTTCATTCATTAATGTAAATATGCAGAACATTAACGCTAGTTAACCGGCAGGTGGGCTGGGTTTTCCCCGCCACCTAAAGTACACTTAATAAAGGAATATTCAAAACAATTCTGATAAGAAAGAGAAAAAAGGAATTTTATTTTAGGCATACGAATAAGGTATTATTAAATTATTTGGTTTGTATTACCTGCAGATAAGCGTCCTCGGCTTCGTGATATCTTCTAAGTAAAGTAAATATACGACCCGAATTTAGGTATCCTCTAACATCATTTGGCTGTATTCTGGATAGAGAAAATGTATGAAACGAAAGTTATTGACTTTTGACATTTACAATATTTGTGTCTCCTTCTAACTTTAACATTCGATACTCTTTTTTACGCTCCCGTTATTTTCTGTCAAGTCGATGGAAAATGGATTCTTTTCAAGAATATATATGGAGTTTTATCAGTAGTGTATAGTCCATATATACAGTTTTTACAAGCAAAATATACAAGCTCCTTTTTTTAAATAAAACCTAGATATGTTTTAGCATTTAGATAGAATGCTTAAAAATATATTTTTAAGATAATTTCCGACAAGATTAGAGCATCGAAAGTTAGAGCCCGATAAAAAAAAACCATTGCTTTAATAATTATTTTAATCTGATGTAAATCACCTCGTGGCTTCTTTATACCAACGAAGAGCTTCGTCTTTCCTATGAAGCCTTTCTAGTGCTTGACCCATGTTGTTATATAACTTGGCATTCCTGGTATTAACACGCAATGCGGAAGAAAAGAGAGTCACTTCCGTTTTCCTAATTAAAATAAAATCATTTAAAAAACTAATCAATCAGATATTTTTATGAGAAATTTTACATTCAATTTTACATAATTATATACAAAGATTAACAATTTAAAGAATAAAAATATAGTTTTTTGGGGAGAGGAGCNAAATATTTTTTTATTATGAATTTTGATTAATTAAAATGATTTTAAATATCAAAAAATAAAAATTAAAAGTATGACAAATTTTATAAATTTATTATAATTTAAAAAAAAACAATAATCATATTTAAAAAAATACATCTTCTTTAAAACCAATTAAAACGAAAAGAAAAATTATTTTTAAATTAACATTTTAAAATTTCAATTTATAAAATTGATTAGAATCAACATAATTATGTCATAATATCTAATATTAATTTATCTAATGATATTTTTTTTTATATTTTATTTTATTATTAATGAAGAATATTAGATATTAAGCTGCTGCTGTTGATGCTGCTGCTGCTGCTTGTGGAGGATGAAATTTTCTTCTTTTTGATATGTGGTGGTCATCGCTCATCAAACTCACCATTAAAATAGTTCTGCGATGAGGTTCGACGGCGTTGTAAGCCGTCCGAAGTAAAATAAAAAATGTTAGATAAAGTGCTAATGTTGACAAATTCCTAAAATCCGTGAAAGTAGTGACGAGAGGTACGGTCCCCATACTCCAATCACAACATAAATCACAAGGAAATAAGAGAAGCCAAGCGTTAATAGAAAGAAGATAATTATAAGTCAGTTGTCTCGTAGGTGTACTTGCCACCGATGCAGGATTATCGAATCTAAAGAAAGAGAAAAATATATATATTTTGCAGTAGCGTGTACCGCTACACGGCCGTAGATCGATAAAGAAACAACTTCCAACTTCCTCCTTTCTGTTGTTCCATTAACTGTCTCTTTAAATATCATAGTCTGCACAGCAAGTTCGACACCACCTCTGCTGTCAGAGAAAGCAAACGTCAGTTAGCTAAACTCGGACATCATCTCTTATCAATGCCTAGCGGCCATCACTCTCCCTTAACATCCTTGATTACAGCTGTTAGTCCGTCAATACTCCTCAGCTAATGACCAAATGTAGCCTCCAAGGGGTCTTACCTACTAAAGGAAAAACACGTCACCAGTTCTCGCAGTGTATTTACCGATGGTTGATGTGCAAGGTGTGACAGATGCATCATATTTATGTCCTTCGACCAGAGAGAAATCCAACGAATTTCTTTCCTCTCCGAATTATTTTTCTGTATTATTCTTTAATATTTTATCGATATTTAGGCCTATATATTATTCGATAAGTCAAAATCTTTTTTTTTTCCTTAATTCTTCTTAATATTTAACATGGTTTTAATATAATTAAAACAATAGTCGACTCTTGAAGTGTAATAAGAATTATCGAAGCAAAGATGGGAGTTTATAATAGAAGAAATTTAGTTTAACACCGCAATGAAGACGATGGAAACCTTTTATCCAAACTTCGTGCTTTCTTCTAATCAAGCTAATTGAAATCAATAGTGGAGCTTAGTGACGAAAGCTCATTCACACTTTTGTTTGCAACAGTAACACTCTTTGGTATGCAGTCGGTAGAATGCCTTCTTTTTCTACCATTTTACTCATGCACCAATGCCGTCCAGGCGTATTCTATGATTTATGAATAGTACTTAGGTTATTGTATATGATTAGTTGCTTTACTAGAATTTGTTCGAAATTTAATGTTGCCTATAATGATATTTGCGAGATGAATTTGCATTTAATGGCGAGAGAACAAACAAAAGACATTTATAATTATACCCCATAAATTAATTATCTTCATCGTCCTCTCGACTAATTATCAAAGATTAAATTTTTATTCCGTCCTTTAAGCGTAAGGAAGGAAACTACGTGATATAAATTCATAAATTTACAACTTAAAAAAGTATAAATAATTACAAAAATATATTATTAAAATTTCGATAAATAAGAAAATAATAAACCTTTCAAAAGATTTTATTTCGATTCTCTTCTGACCGCACGAAACGTTCAAAATTTAGCCATTTTGTAAATAGATTTTTAAAGGAACTTTAGAATTTTGTTTGAATTGGAACTTACCACTTAGCCCAAAGTAAAGACCAGCCGAAAGCCACTAGCATGCAGAAACCCATGCTGGGTAGATACAAAACTCGTTCTGCAACGACGAAACCCACAGGAAAAAGCAAGTTAGAAGCAGGCAGGAAAGGAAGCACCAACATTGACAGGCTCTGAAATAAATATAAGCGCAAAATAACTTAATTTTGGAAGTGAAGGTGGAAAGGCTGATGATCTGATTAGTGGAAATCGCCTTCGGGAGATATAAAATTAGAAAATGCTTCACAAATCACAGCTATATACCATTTATCTACTTTTGACACTTAAGATACGTCGCCATTAATCTTCGCAGAGTCAATTGTGAACTGCTTCTGTCCAAAAATCAATCATCGGCCTTTCTATAATGATTTTTCGGTTTGTAATATTTCACAACTAATTAATGACCATTTAATATAACTATGCAATCATCGGGTCGATTTCAATTAAAGAAAACGAATTTATAAAAAGAAAAAATATATATATATTTAAAATTTACTGTCGATATATTCACTTGCCAAAACAATCTACCTTCGAATCGATCGTTTTCGCGTGAAAAAAAAATAATAAATAAACTTATTTTACCTTCAATTTTTTATTAAGAATATTCAAAAATATAAATAAAATCAAGTAAACATTTCTAAATTAAAATATTCATTAAAGATAAAGAGCTGTGTTCATCACGCTTAACGTCTCCAAATATAAAATTAATTCAGTATAATTTAAATATTAAAATGATTATAAATGGAATAATATATTCATAATAACTATTTTTATATTTTTAAATGACTTTCATTATTTATATTTATAAATTTAACCTTAAATATTTTTTTATTATGAATTTTGATTAATTAAAATGATTTTAAATATCAAAAAATAAAAATTAAAAGTATGACAAATTTTATAAATTTATTATAATTTAAAAAAAAACAATAATCATATTTAAAAAAATACATCTTCTTTAAAACCAATTAAAACGAAAAGAAAAATTATTTTTAAATTAACATTTTAAAATTTCAATTTATAAAATTGATTAGAATCAACATAATTATGTCATAATATCTAATATTAATTTATCTAATGATATTTTTTTTTATATTTTATTTTATTATTAATGAAGAATATTAGATATTAAGCTGCTGCTGTTGATGCTGCTGCTGCTGCTTGTGGAGGATGAAATTTTCTTCTTTTTGATATGTGGTGGTCATCGCTCATCAAACTCACCATTAAAATAGTTCTGCGATGAGGTTCGACGGCGTTGTAAGCCGTCCGAAGTAAAATAAAAAATGTTAGATAAAGTGCTAATGTTGACAAATTCCTAAAATCCGTGAAAGTAGTGACGAGAGGTACGGTCCCCATACTCCAATCACAACATAAATCACAAGGAAATAAGAGAAGCCAAGCGTTAATAGAAAGAAGATAATTATAAGTCAGTTGTCTCGTAGGTGTACTTGCCACCGATGCAGGATTATCGAATCTAAAGAAAGAGAAAAATATATATATTTTAAAAATTATAAATTTCGTTAAATATTTTTCTCTCTATTTTAAATATAAATTTATTTTTAGTATAATTCTCTCGATCGTACTCCTATTGTATGTAAAATGCGAGTGGATTTACATTGACGTTATCGTTAAATTTTTTATATATTTTCTTTTCTTCTCTTTAATATGAAAATATATTAGACTTCAAACGATAAAAATGTTAAATTTAATAAAAGATATTTGTGTTATATAAAAAAGAATTTTCCAACTATCATTCAAAATGTTTTTTTTAAATTTAAATCAAAACTTTTAAAATATTTGCTCTCTATATAATGGCTAATATTACATATTTAAATATTTTAATTTTTAATTTTGTAAATTATTAATTAAAAATTGTAAATTTAAGCAGAATATTTACGAATAAGTCTAGAAATATATTCATTTATTGATTGAATAACAAAATTTCCAACATTAAATGACTTATTTAAATACATTTTAATATCTATATTCTCTTTATAATTTGTTAAAATAATTTAAACAACTTATTCATTCATATTTAAATTTTATTTTAACATTTGTTTAATGATTAATAAAACTGTAATGTAATCATATAAATTAAAAATACTTTATGTACAGTACCTACATCCAAAATTAGTTCTTTGCTAATTTATAAATTGTTTAATTGTTATTATTATTGTTTAATATTGCTTTATAATATTGTATTTAACTTAATGTATTTTAATTGCATTATGTTACATTATACATTTATTAATATATTACGTTTACTAAAAGCTTTCCCAAAATTTATTTAATGTATGCAGGAGTGCTTTAAGGAAAAGTATGATTTACAGGCGCTTATTAATTTATAGAGCGACGACTATATTTTACTGAATATAATGTTAAAAGAATTTATAACTTAGCCATTATATTATCTTATATACATTTTAAAAAACTAGATATAAACTTTTCTTTTATCATAACGTCTAGAATAATAATATAAATAAAGCTTTTATGTAAATAAATATGTTAAAATGAAACGTTAAAAATATTTGTAAAATAAATACGATCTTTATAAAAATATTTATAAGATTATATTTAAGTTTTATTTATAAATTTAAAATAAAAATAAGTTTGTAAATCCTCTTAAGAAATTGAAATTTATTAGAATAATTCTTTAATACTCTACTTGTAAGCAGTGTTTACTCAAAATTATTAATGCTATATTACTTTTATTTAAAGCGACAAAAATACTTGTAAAATATCTTTTATAAAAGAAAATATTCTCAAGTTATGTAAATTAATCCGTGAAAAGTTTATAATATATACTATTCGTTAGTTTGATTAATTTTTTTTTTTTTAATAACAGACATTCAACAGTGAAAAATGCTATATCCTGTTGAGTATTCTTTACAGTCAGCACTTTTATGAAGTCTGATCTTGCGATATTTCACTAGATTCTATATACTAACTTTGATTCTTTACGATCGGATCTATCTTTTCTGTATTAATGGCACTATAAAAATTTTGATTGATATTTTAAAAGCAACTTTCTAATGGAGGTTAGCATTAAGTTTTAAAATCTATTAAACAGCTGTCTGACCGAATAAATATTAAATAAAACTGTACAAAATTTATACAAAATAATTAAATAGCTATTCTAATTAACTATATTTATCCGGAAAACATTTAAATATTCCGGATAGAAATTATATACTGTATATATATTTTTTTATTCATTTGTAATTTTGATAATAACTATAAAGTAAAAATAATTTTAATATTTAATATTATCTGCAAGCTATTATTTAATCAAATAATTGAACGAATATTATAATTAAAAGATCTTTTTAATTTTATAAATATGCCTTTAAGGTACGACTTAGAGAAGATGGCATCTGCACTTTAGTTAGATTTAATTTGATTTTGAATTAAAATAATAAAATAGATATTTAGATAAGTAGGTGATAGCATGTAAAGTACATTGATCTACTTTTTGATAAACAGTTTCCGAAGTTTATAAAAAGATAAAAGAGTAAACAGAAAGGGGGAAAAAATAGAAGAAAGAACAAAGTGATAACATCGACACTTCAATAGCGGACTTCATCACGCGAGAAAAAGACATTTTTATATTATATATAGAACAGAATCATATTCTTAAATAATAAAAAAGAGATTGGTTTTTTGGGGGAGAAAAAACTCTGTACTTTATGTCAAAAAATATAATGCCAAAATATTCAGCCCTTCTTCAATCGACAAATTTCAAATGTGACAGTTTGTAGAAAAGACTAACCAAAATTAAATAATTCAAAAGAATTAATGCTTTGTTACATTGTTCTGTATGTTAGCGATGAAACATTGATATGAAAAATCGATTTATATTTTAACCAATTTCTTTTTATTTTAGTTTTATTTCACCTTCTAGATGGATATCGTTTTTGTGATTAAGAAAATTAAAACGACGACCGTCACATTTTAAATTCTCTTATATAAATAGGAAAAAAAAATTAATATAAACGTCCGAAAAATTAAATAAAAAGAGACTTTGTTAGCTTTATTTTGTTAAAAAAAAGTTTTTATGATGTAGAAAGAAATATTTTATGTATATTTTTTATATTAAGAATTATTTCGGAAATTCACGTTAATAAATATATTTTTAAAAAAGAATTTATAAGCATAAATTTAAAAAAAAAAAATTGTTAAGCGTGAAATAAATTTGAAATTTTTCTCTTTTAAACTCGATTATTTTTAATAAATTAAAGTAAAAAATTAATTTTATTTATTTAGTATCTTTACTGTAGCTTAGGATACAATCGAAAAAAGAAATTTATATAAAACCGTTTCGTATACATTAATTTTTCTTTGATTTTAATTTAAATTCTTAAAGACTTTTTTATTTTTTTCTCGAGAATATATGAATTTAAAAAAGTCAATTAAAAAGCCATTATAAATTTAAACCGATAAAGTGAAAGCGAATAACCAATTTTGAAAAGTTAATTATCTAATATCAACTCCTTGGGTTATAAATAATTGATTTCGATTATTCTCCACGACTTATATCAATATTATCAAAGAAGTATCAATAGGAGAAGTGTTGTTAAGGAAGGAATTAGACTTACCTATTGAAAACGGGAAAATGAGGTCCTGTTATTCTGACACGAAGATACAATATGACTATAGTTGCTGTGAGCAGAAAGGTGATCCTCAGGACTGCTTCTCGTATCCATGGAGACACGAAACCTTTTCCCAAAAGGAGATATCGAGCTGTTTGGACAACTTCCGACGGCTACAAATATATTAATTCGTGATTAAAGATATATATATATTTTTTTTTTAACTAAAAAATTTTCTATAATATCCAACAGAGAATTTTTCAATATAGAAACTTTTCAATCAATTTTACATTATCTCCATTCTTTACCAATACAAGGTGACGGTTAGATTATTTTTAAGTTTTATTTATCGGCCACGCTTGATTCGGCTTCTAGTAAAATCTATTTTTTATTCTAATAGGATTTCTATATTTTTATAAATTCTTCTCTCCAACTATTCATTAAAAATGTATGCTTTATAAATGTTTTCAAAGAACTATCCTGACAATATAATTGAATAGAACGACTAAAAAAAAAACAAATGTTAAACTGTTTTAATTATACGATTTAATTATAATCTATTTTCTCTAATTTTATTTTACTTGATTTATTACCAGAATTAGTATAAAATTATTTATATACAGGCCAGATTTAATTACATATTATCAATATTCAAATTAGATTAATTAATTCATTAAAAATTAGCGATAAGAATGTAAAAATTATCCGCTAGAAGTTTATACGCATTAAAAAGAAGAAAAAAAAAACAACTTCGTTAGTTTAAATTTAGTAAATATTTAAAGATTATTTACTGTTTATTCTGTTAAGAACTTACTCTAGCATTAGCTATTTCGTAGACGCAACATAAAGCCATGACAATCAAAGCTTGTTCTTTGCACAACATGCCACACGCTGCCAGGAAAGTTGTACCCAAGCATCTTCTCCAATCTGTACAGACGGAAAAAAATATCAGTGGTTAGTTATTCGACATCTACAACATCATTGCAGTGTGCTATCGCTAGTCGATATAGCAACAGCAGTTGGCAATAGTTTCCTTTGCAATTCAGAGTACAAAAAGGAGACAAAATGTCCCGATTTACAAAAAGAAAAAAAAAACTTCTTCGCACATTACGATTCTTAAAAAACGTCCCGCGATATGAAAAACATGAACTACGTTTATGTCGACGCCGAATCATCTGTTTGTTTTCCTACCATTTTTATATTTCTATCCGAAATTTAAATTCAATAATATTTAAATATTTTACGGACGTATCGAATTATTTCGTCCTAACGGAGTAGGAGAAATATCTAATCGTTTCCGAGAAAAATTCCCTCATCAAAAAAAAAAAAAAAAGGAGAAAGGAGGGAGAAAAACAACGTTTTTCTTGTAGATAAAAACTTTACACAAACAAAATTCACGAAACAATTTAAAAATACGATTAGAGATATTAATTAAGAGTGAATATAGAGTCGGTCCCGGGGATATTTACCAATTGCTTTGAGTTTTCGTTCTCGTCATTCGAATTATCGTCGTACTAATGGAGTTGGATCGTGATCATCGCCATACTGTTAGTAATTTCTATAAGCAAAGATGCACGAAGACATAAGATACGATCTCTAGTCTGATCGCTGAACAAACTTTTTCTATCTTCGTCATCTGTAATAGGGTCATACAAGCTAACGACGTCTGAGTCTGATTGTGCTTGGAGCAGAAATGTCATCTTATTCTCATTTGGCGGCAAAAGGCGCTTTGGGCCATTTTCTACTTTTTCTCTTCCTTCCTCATAAGTATATGCATTTTCTTATAGACATTAACAATTAGTTATATCTGGGAAATTAATTAATCTACCTTCCATCTTACTAATTAAATATATTTCTTGTCAAACTTATTAGACTTCAACCATCCAATACCAAAGTTTGATGAAAGAATAATCCGCTTTTAGCACTTGTTTAACTAGATTAAATTATTTTAGTACGCTCTTAAAGAATACATTTTTGTCAAATTTCTATTCGTTAATTTAAAAAAGAAAAAAAAAAGTTGTAAATATTAAATCATTTAAATTTAAATATCGCTCTTAGCGTTGCTGATAATCAATAAAATTCTATATATAAAGTATATTCTACAAAAACAAAATGCAATTTTGCGAGTTAATAATGAAGACGGGGGCATAAAAATGACGAGCAACTTTTTACGATGTCACTCTTCAAATTTTTTGAATATATATATATATATTTTTTAATGAATTATAGACGTATAACAAGGTTTCGTCGAGGAAATATCTTATTTAACTTATATTTTATTACATCTGAATTTAAAAATCGCAACTTAAGATTAGTTTAAACGAAGATTTAAAGAGCAATTTTTCGTTTGGTCGAAATACAAATATTATAAATAAATAACCAGATGTAAACATTGTCTATGTAATTACATTTATTTACGATCGTTTTGCGTTATTTATTGATATGTTAAATACTCTCATATTTAAGTTTTACGACGCCTTTATATATAATTTATGTTAATATTTTAAAATGTTTTTTTTACTAAATTAATTTAAAGTTTTATTTTAAATAAATTATAATTGAATTTATATTATTTATTCGTTACTCGAAAAGGAGGGGGAAAAAATGGTTATAAATGAAAATGAAAAGATTATTTTTGTTATGACGAAGCGGCAGGATCTGTGTTAGCGAGTTCACGCACTTGGAAAAGTTCAGGGTGTAGCGAAACATTTGGCGAAAGCACGAATTTGAAATAAATTTAGAAAATAGTTTCCTTTAAAAAAATATATATAAAATATAAAAAAAAAGGTTATTGTTTATGCTAGTCTTCTTTAAAGAAATTCTAGAACTGACCTTCTGTGGCCGTACAGTGCTTCCTGGAAGTGTACAGAAGAAAGGCACACAAGTAGAACAAAGCTGATAATAATTCCGCTCGACCAACAACGCCTGTCACCTAAACAAAAGAAAATGTTGACTAAATAAAAATCACACGTACTGTAGAATTTCGTGAAAATAAATCTAATCAAAAATATCGAGACATTTATATGATAATGTCGTCCATATTTCACTTAAAAGCCACGAATAAATCACAAAAGAGTAATTACAGTAAACATTATCGCGATGCTCGTTCAAGGTAATCAATTTATCAATTTCTGATAAATGTCTAAAACCAGCTTAACAAGTAAAAATTTTATTTTGTATCGGATGAAAAAAGAAAAAAAGTTTATTTTTCTGATAATAAAACGAAAATTTATCGATAATAAAAGCGTTTTGCAGAATTCAATCTACTTATTTGTCAATGTCCGATGCATCTGCCTTCGTTTGCATAAAAATGCATCTTAATGGTCTTCGTTTCATACTCTAAGCTAAACTGATAACTAACAAACACAATTCCGTATCGGAGAGAAATATCGATTGGACAAATTCGAGACTATTATTCAATAGCCAGAAGAGATGTAGTGTTTATAAATATTTCAGATATAAATTTAATCTCGAAGGATAAATGATAGGTAATGGAATAAAATTTCATTTTCTACTCGGCGGATTCAAATTCTTGAATAAAAAAAAAAGTAGTAAGACTTTTAAATATTGAAGAAGGAAATGTTCGTTTCGGCGATTCTCATTTTGCTTCAACCTTTCATTGGCAATGGTTAGACCGTTGCAAATAATTTAGTTTCCTTCTCGACTATTGATCAAGCGAGAAGAATCAATTCCAATGTTTACTCAAATGCTATCTGTGTCAGTCTTGACCGGGATAAAACTGACGGACAATGCTCTTTGCACACTGTTTTAGCAATGGACACGGTGGCTGTTGTCCAATCTTCGTAAATCGCCAGCGAAAATTAATTAGAAAACGACGCGAAAGAGTGGTGTAACGTTTTGATTCATCATCCTATAAGTTTTAATTAAGGAGGAGGAGAAGAGCGATTATTCTAAATTACATAAAAAAACGGGTTTTTTTCTCTAGCTAAACGTTATATCGGAGAAATACAATATATCTCCCTCCTGTGTAAATCTTATAATAATCCTAAATTTTATACCAAATATTCTATAAATTTCAACAGTTCAAGAGAAAGTTATTACATGCTTCAGTCGTTCGACTTTGAAAGAGTCAATAAAAATAGAAAATGCACTGTCGGCTACCTACGGCTTCCGTGTGAATCGGGTGGACGGCAAACAGCATGGCTGCCACGAAACTCGTCAGCAAAGGAAGAAATAGCAGGCACACCCTGAAAGAGAAACAAAAGAAAGAACTTCTGAGCAAATATACAAATGTTATCGACAATCGGGGGGGAGGGAAAAGGGAACGTGATTAGATGACAATTTCCCAAAAGGGACTTTGGGGGTATGCCAGATGAATGGTACTTCGTCTTCGTTACAATTCATTCGCTAATCATCCCAGCAATTATAATCGGTTGATCGAGTTTGACCAGTTCAGATATTACGAAAGCTCTCTTCACTCCGCTCTAATTAATCACGAAAAATAAAGTATTCGAAATGTGCGAGTGACTCACCTGTAATATAATAGACAGACGACTGTATGCAACGTGACGTTCACCAGGTGATAACCAAAAGGTTGCAGTCCATGGACGGTGTAGTTCAAACGAAACGTTAAAATACACAGTGGACGGTACGATTTGTGACTTTGTTCCTAAAAATTCCAAATAATTCTCATTAAAAAAAAAATAATAATAATTGATAAATATTTTTAAAGCTTCACAGAAACAAATATTGTAAGGATTTATATGTCATTTTTAATAGAAAAATTTAAAAAATAAAATATATAAAAACATATAAAAAAAAGATATTGACTTATATAGATGCGGTAACAAAATGTTTTTTTTTTCTTTTTTCCTTCTTCTTCTTTTATTCGAATTTGATACTTTTGTTCGATTATAAGAAGCGATGCTATAAAAGTCACAAACGACTTTAAAACGTTTGAGGAAGTTTTAAAAAAGTAAAATAAAATAAAACGTATCAAAACTGCTCTATAGGTTTCATTAAAAATAAATTGTTCATTTGGATTTTGGAGAAATAAAGAAGGGGAAGAAAAAAATATCAAAACAGTATCAAATAAATTTATTTCGAGATACTTGACTTTTTTACTAAATTTAATCTATTTTTTTTTTTTCTTTTTCTTCTTCTTCTTCTTCTTCTTCTTCGCTTCAATTATCTAAAATTACGGCACACGGTGGCAAATATGTAATTTTTATTATCGAAGGAAAGTCTTTCTTGTTTCTGTCTCGTTACGCCATTCGATTATGCGATTAATAAGCGCGGATGCGAAGATAAATTCGGTTTATTTAAATTGAAAAGTAAAAGTTTAGTTAGAAACAAATACAATTTGCGTAAATGAAGAAGATAAAAAGAAATATAGGTCGAACGGGAGGTCCCCACCCTCTGCAAATAGTTACCCTTCCTTTAATAGAAGGTAATTGAAACCGGCTCCCCTAGAGATGCCAATGCTACACGTGAACTATCTTGTATTCCATGTAACTAACGACTGGCATTAACTGGATTGTAGAAAAAAAAAAAAACCTCTTCAGTAGTAATTCGTACCACCCAACACACACTTAACGTTATTGAAATGGCATAAAGCAATCCACATCGCATCCAACTAGAATAAAATGAAGCCGGTTCCATTTTTCTCTCGAGTTTTAAACGATAATTTCGATTTTGTTCCCTTTAAATGCACAAGATGTAATAAGTAACATTTCGGCTGGTAAACAGAATCTGTGTTTCAACCACTACTCGATATTGATTGCCTTTACTACAAGACGTTCGGTTGGGATAAACTAATTTTATATTATGTAAAAGAATAATAAACCATAATAAGTTATTCACATTTTCCTACAAATCCTGTATAAAATCCAATTTGCGTAAGTGCGTTGAGGGGTCTGCTCTACCTCCAGGCCCAATCCGTTTAGATGAGGCCTAGGAGTAGAGCGGAGCCCCCTTTTTTGAACAAAACAAATAGGCCTACATATTTTTTACTAAAAAATAGCATTAATTTATAACACTAGAACCACTTTGAGAGCTACACTAAGGCTCTCATAGCTCTACTGAAGAGCAACTATGAAACCGTATATTATGGCACTACTGAGGAACCACTATTGGTCCCTAGCGAGGTGCCAAGAGTCTGAGGACTTTACTTTTTCTTCTCGACGGTCCTGATGCGGTATGGTAAATGTTTAAATATTCTAACTTACAGCGTATAAAATTTTAATACCAACTTTAATAATTAATTAACTTACGTTATTTCGATAAATATATTGTAATTAAATCCATTTTTATTGCCATTTGATGCACGTAGCCACTATATAAACATATCGATATATCGACGTTACACTGTAACTCGCAGTTTCTGTTGATTCATTTGTGGTAAGCTCTAAAAGTAACGCTACGATATTGAATTAAAACGCGCATACACAATAAAAATATAAAGAAAAGTCCATTTTTATTGCTTAAGTTTGCCGTAACAGCTATATACAACCATATACAGTGATGTGGTAACGAATTTTGCGTTGAGTAACAATAGAGAAGCATTAGATGAACGTTGTACGATAATATATACATTATTAAATGATATCCTTCATTATATTAAACGTAACAGTTATAATAATGTTAAATTTAACAATTAAATTGCGACAGGATGGACGATTAGCTTATGTAAATGAGTTCGAGTCAAGCGGAAGATCGCGCCGAACAGATTAATAATGTATAAAAATCCTAATTTATTCGTTTTTTATTAAATTTTAATAAATAAAAAATAATCATAAAATTTGTTTATTCTCGTTTACAAGCAAGAAAACAAATGACGATAGCAAAATATCACTCTAAAGACGAAGTCAGTGCCGTCGTCATAGCGCGAATCGCGTCGCATCGATTCGCGCTTCGACTGAATAACCGCGATTAAATTAAATTTTATCATATATAATGTAATAAATACATTCATTAATTAACCATAAATAGTCACAAACATTTTTTATTTGATTTTATAAAAATAAATTAGATTTATACGTTAAAGCATTACTCTATAAGCGAAGCGAAGCGCAATCGCGTGCCAATATTTAATTGAGATTTATCTTTAAATTCACTCAAGAATAAAATTTAGGAGAGATGATAAATAAAGCTACCAAATAACTAAAGTAATTATTAACAACTATAAACGTCTCATTCTCTTCTGTCTCATTTTTCAACATGTCAAATGTATGGAGATAGAAGATTACACCAAGTAAATTGCTTTCGATTGTTTCCGAGCGTATGATTCGGGTTCGTAATCATGTCTAGCCGATTAGATTAGTGATGGGCTAAGGCAACGCAACACACGAGCAATGTACAAAGAAGGTATTTCTCGGGAGGACTCTCTACGAGAAACTGCCCCTATTTAGGTTCTAGACAATTAAAGAAAACCGGAAAAATTCACACGACAATATGGGGAAACTGATACCTGTTTATGTGTTAGACACGTGAAGGAAACCCGGAAAACACGTGGCCGGCCGGTTGATTAAGTGTGAACCCATGACCAGTGTTCATTGGTTTTATCTATTCGGTCACATTACGTGTTGCAAACGAATAAAATTGATACAGAGTTTTTAATAATGTCGTACTTGTTTTTATAAATATATAAACAAAAGATAAATTTCAATATTCCTCGTGCTCTTTTCTTTATTCAGTTCCATTTNAGTAATCAAGAGTTGCGTGGCGCTCAAACAAAAGACAAATTGACGAGATTTGAAAATCGCATAACTCCGAGTTCGCGTAAGTCGGGGTAGCGTAAGTCGAGGTATTACTGTACCTCTTAGAGAGGAGTCAGAAACTGATTTTTGTATGATGTTTACACATGAATTGCCAACTAGTTGCATATACAAGTTACATACTTTATTTATAAATAATTTTTTGAATTTTTATTTTTCTTGGAGAAATTTCATCAAAATGGCCGGTGTATCTCGCTCCGCGTGGATTTCAATTAAGGAATTCCACACATTTATCTATTATTTGTTAAATATAAGCCGAGCCGGGCAGCCTAAGATTATTTTTGGAAGCGATTGTAAGAAGAGTTGGAGCTATGCATCGAATTAAAACTTCTAATGAGATATCGCTAACAAAGTCAGTCGGGACATATGAAATTTTCTCCCTCTATTGATCTCATACCAAGAGATTTTAGCATTCCTGAGGTGAAATTCCGCTTTCTCGGCATCTAATACTAAGTTTAACGCTCCCAAAGTTCATATTTTTATTTATGAGACGACTAAAATCAGATTTTATTCTTTAAACTAGAAGTTATAAGAGAAAATAAATATTAATCTTAGTAAAATAAGTATAGGAAGAAAGAAATGTAAACACGGTACGTATATTAAGCGGTAGCAGTTGGAAGAGATTTCTTACCTTATGTAAAGGAGTACCCCAAAAATCGTTGAAAAACACATTTGTAATAGGTGTGTGAGGTCGAATATCTCTGTTGTCGCGAATAGCAGCTATATCGTCAAAAACCAGTTCACAACCCAAAGATGTGTAATAGCAAATAGCAGCTGTGCCAGCTATCACCCAAGATTGAATCTTTTCTGAAGACTGGCCCATGCCTGAAATAATAAAATCCAGCAATAAAGAATTGATAACAACTTAATAGCAGTCATATTTTATTCTACTAGATGTACAGTGAATTTTTTACTAAATATATTTCTGAAAGGAATACGAAATTTTTATTCATTTTTTACGTGTTAGAAGGAATTGCTGTTTTTCTAGAACAAGAAAAATCCCGGGTAAACCGATTTTCGAATTTCAAAGTATAAAAATTGAAAATATATTCCGGAATCATCACCTGTAAGCTGATTCCGAATTCCTATTCACAACTATACAGATATGAAAATCCAAAATCCGATTTTGTTCTTTCATAAACTGTTGATACTTCTTTATATATTTATACTGATTTTTTTTTCTTCTTGACAGCGACCTAAGGATTTACGTGACGTTCTCTCCATTCGAAAGTAAAAAAAAATTTCATCCATATTTTATTTACTTTATGAAAAATAACCGAATTTGCATAAAATTCATTTATACACAGAAACGTCTCTTTAATTAATTTATTTTCTCTACTTTAAGCGAAAGCACAGCAGTCAGATTAACTGCTGGCAATAAATTTTGTCTCAATTAACAAAATTCTCTCAATCAAATTAAGTTTGGTTGTGTGTGCGTAGCCATTCATACATCAGCGAATTACTGTTATTATTCACGATAAATTTGTACATTGTTTCTCATTAATGTTGCCGCTCGTATCATGTATGGTTTTGTACTAATGTACGGAATGCGTGACAGAAAGATGGATTCACTACAAAGTGATCTGTTACAATCACGACCCAATTTCAACTATTGGAGAATATGCAAACACGTAATACCAAAATATATTTTTTTAATTACTTTCTACGGTTTAATTTTTGTAAAATTAATATATTCCTATAATAATAATACACCGAAGTAAAATACAATTAGATTCAGTACGAAACGATTTATACGCTTAGCAAACGAAACACGCTTATAGCCGGATGTCTCGTATAAAAACACGAATAATACTATAATAATATTCCAATTTCCTTTGCACAAACATGACCTTTCAACTTAACTTAGTTCATTAATATTTGATGAAAATTAACACTCCTACGTCATCGATCCCCGCCGGTATTCCGTGTACTCGTCACGCAAAAATCGCGAAACATTCATGACGGGAAACAGTTGTACAATGAGTTATTTTCAGTATAGGTTATGTTTTAGTATCACGAAGAATCTCCGGATATGCCCTCCTTTGCTGGTCAGATGTTTTTCTGCTCCATCGAGCGTCACCATCCAGACAGCTTTTTTGTCCAATAGAAGCTTGAAAATCCGACAAATACTATTATCTACTGACGTCCTGAAAGAACAACTGAACAAACACGTTTCGAGCAGCACCAACGTGATCGAAATTTGTTTATACAGCTGTTAATAAATAGAAACTAATCAAAACGCTCCTTATTTCTACTCTAATATTAGTATTATATCGAATATAATAAAGTCGATATTTAATCTGTCAAAGGCATCCTTTAATAAAGAAAATAATATATATATATATATATTTTATTTTAGATATCATTCAAATAATAAAATTCTAAATAAATTTTCCATTGTTTTCTGATAAGATTAAGTGTATTATATTACCCAGAAAGATATATTAAATCCAATAATTTCATTTTTATTGAAATATGAAACCAAAAATAATTCTCAATTCCTATTTTAAAATGTAATATACGAAAATATATAATCTGCACAGTTAATAATGAAAATAATTTCTAAACTTGTACATGGATGCATTCACAATGGAAGTAACACATCGATTTGAAGAAATGGTAAGTTCGTAACGAATAAAATTAATTTATTTTTAAGTATATAATTGTTTAAATAAAATAAATAAATAGATTTATAAGTTAAATTTAACTTAATACGAAGGATATTTTTAGAATTTATCAAGAAAAACTAAAAAGACATTTCGATTAACTGATATGGAAATTGCATTTGTATATTTTTAGTATTTCCCTCATTACGTATGTTGTTGTATATTTTTAAGCGAACCCACGTTCAGATAAAAATGTTCTCATATTTTAACTTGAACCCGTAGATTTCCTCTTCTAATTAATTGTTTAATTTACGAAATTCTTTGGTTGTACGAGACGAATTAATGCAATCATTTTAGCAATGTAGGAGTGTCAGATAGCGAAGAATATTTATATCCCTTCTACTCGGTAGTTGTAATGATTAATAATTATTTCTCGACTAACCGATTGGATTAGATCATTGAGATTATTATCGTCAATTATCCGAAATCGGAATTATGAAGGAGGATGTTTCATTAGCTTTTAAGATAATGGGATGATCAATTTTCACGGAATATACTGTATCTGCACTCTGCAAAGATCACGAAAATAACTGATTGCCGAATAAAATAATAAAAAAATAAGATATTATATTATGGAAGAAGCGTAAACGAAGCTACTTTTATGCAGCTTGTACTTAATTTTTTTGATATTTTTTTAAAGTTTAGAGTGGTTGGAAGCAACGTATCCGAGCGAGTTCGTCAAAACGGCGAGAGATAAACACCTGCTTTGAGTACTTTATCTCATTTTTTAGATACAAATTAAACAGTTTAAAAACAAATCGGAGGTTATTTATCATCTTTTTTTCGGTAATTTCGTCTACACGTATCTCGCTTGTTAACCGAATCAATCGGTTGCCGTCTAAGAAACTCGTAGACGTTTTAACTTTATTTGATACTTTATTAATGAAACGTTTTAATAACTAATTACGAAAATAAAATTTCCATTAATCAATATAAAATTCCTTAAAATTTTCAGCCAACAAAATTCGACCCAGAGATTTAGAAAATCGCTTTAAATTAATAATTTATGACAAAATTATCGTTATTAAGATAGCGGCTCCAATAAATTACAAAAAAGCGACGTTAATGGTTTTTAACCGGATACTTTGCGAAGTCGAAAATAGGTTTCAGATTATACAAGAAAAGTCTCAACGATTCGGTTTTCAACACGATTTCTTTTTATCTCGTGGGGATCGTTTCTTTTCGACTCTGAATACAAATTAACGCCTCTAAGAGAAGTAAAACTTTGTAGAAAAGAAACTTTACGTCACGATAATGAACATAAATATAAAATCGATGGAAACTGCAACTATTACAACACCCTATATCCTCCATCCGGCCTACCTCACTATTAATCGTGCTGTATCCATCAACGAAGAGCTTCTCGAGTCCTTCCATCTGGGATCGATCTTATACTCCTTTACCGAGATAACAGATACAATAGAGACGAAATTATAAGAACACGAGCATTTTCTAATCAGAAATCATAACAGAAGCTAACAATAACTTAAAAAAATGATATATAGACCTTTATAAAAATGTCCAGAGTTGTTTAAATGGCGGCTTTAATGATGGTGAAAGAGTCATCCGACAAAAGTACTGAAAGAAGTTTCTCGTGTTATTATTCGTCGTTTCTTCCATTGATTCTTTCAGTCAGTCCAAATGGCTGGGGGCAACGAGGAAAAGAAAAAAAAAGAAGAAGAAACATAAACGAAAATCAAAGTTCTTTTAATCTTTACGCATTATATCAAATGGTAAAAATTACGGGCGACAAAGTTTCGCCATCTCATCAAATTTACAAACAAATTGAATTACTTGCCAATGCAAGAAACTGTTTGTATTAAATCTTGGTATCATTCGGGTTGGAAATAATATGAAATTTATGAAATTCCCCGAGTAGAAAATAGAAATTTATTTGATTTTCGTATTAAGAAAAGACGTGAACGGTTTACATCACCTGATGAATATTCCGTCCGAGAAGATCGGACAATCAATTTTCGCCTTTTCCTTTTCGCGACTAGGCTACTAAGATAACAATACTATTAAGAATAAAAGTAATTACGTCAGAAGAAGATCTGGCAGAGTGCGTGTTCAAAATCGATAAAAGGACGTCACATTTAAAATTTCCCCCAGATCTGTCAAGTGACAGATTGGTACAGTAATTCTCTACAAAACAGCAGAGGAGTGGCAGGGTGGGAAAATCCATCGTTGCAGAAACACAATTTATTTAAGTGGTGTGTGTTCGCACAGCACTACAAGATATTAGGGGAGGGAGGAGGGTAAAGCGCTAGACGACGATTTAATGATGTCCTGACGTGTTGTGTGACGTGGTGTCTGACGTGGTGGAGAGATTTTTCTCCTACGTTTGCCAACATCTGGTGTTCTCTGCCTTTCGTTTTTGGCAAAAATGCGTTTTTCCGAAAATGTCACGGAAGATTTTCTATTGCCAAAGAGTTTCCTTCGAATATTCTAAAGAAATGTTCGCATCGTCCCACTTTCGATTTGTTTCCGTAAATAAATAATAATTTTATACGCGTTATCATCCTCCTATCCGGAGATCCTTTTCGATTTAAAGAAAAGAAAATTGCAGGACTTAAGGAATAAAAGTAGAAACCTACGTCAATTCTTTTTGCAAAATGTTTCTCAGTAATCAGATTTTACCAAATTTTCAAAAAAAAAAAATTTCCTTTAAAATTTAAAGTTTTTTTTTATTTTTAAAATTAACTTTTAAATTCTTTTTTTAAATTAAAATGATACTCAAGAAAAAGTTTAAATAATAAAACACGTCGCAATAAACTTTCTTAAAAATTATTTTTTATAATTTTAAATATTTTATAATGTTTTTTTGAATAATAGTTAAATAAAAATTTGAAGAAAAGAATATAATATATAAGTACCATTAACCGTTTAAAATAATCATTTGAAGTTTTCATATAAATAAAATTTGTTTTAAAATAAAATAAGTTAATGTTTTAGTAAGAAAATAGAAGAAAAGATATTAGAAATGACAAATAGAGAGGTTTCCTTCAAATTTAACTCCTTGGAGGTTAAGTTCTATTTCGAGCGTAATTCAGCCCGCTTAATTTCATTCCATTATGCAGAGCATACAGTTTCCAGATGCTTTTAGCTAAGACAAAAAAGAAAAAAAAAAAGGAAACACGTTTTGGAGAAAAGGAGTTG